CGTAGATGTAATTTTCAGAAAACAGTCAAATATTTTTGACTAATGACACAGCATCAAAGATTATCTCTGTGTTTTAAACTCCATGACAGAATGGTACCACGAATGTGTCCAGTTGCGAAAGTGTAAAGGATATTTTTGTTCCCTTGAGACAGATAGAAGGAATGCAGAATTTATCATTTAATTTTCAACTGTGCAATCAAGGATCATTTTAATGATGTACTCCAACTTGGAGACATGCGAAAGTCCCCGGGCTGTTCTGTTTTGTTATTTTCACGTATCGACTTCAGCCACGTCTTGATCATTAGCATTACAACCGCAGAGATGCCCTTTCTCAAAAATAAACTTTTTTAAATGAAACCCTCAATTTTTAAAACGAGGTAAAATAAAAACTGGTTATCGAACGACTGTGAAAGCTGACGAAGTCGAACACAAATGAGGAGACAGAAACTTGACAACTTCCTTTCCGCAAAGTTGAATTAGACCAGCCGGTTCTTCGCAACCGGCTGGTGGGAAGTCGCAAAATTCCATGAAACCGGTTTTGCAAGGTACGGCGATCCAGAAAAATTGGGTCAAATTCTAGTAGATTCGGTGAAGGGGTTGAAAGTTGGAGAAAGCAAGATTTATCAACAATTTTGCGAACTTCCGCCGGATGAACGACCCAAACTTCTGTCGCTTTTATAAAAGTGAGGAGACTTGGTCACACACTTAAAAATCAACGTAGAGATAGCTGCAGCACGCTGACAGACACTGAAGGAAATCGTCAGGATGATGAAATTAGCCATTGCGGATCGACGCACAAGATTAGATGCACAAATGATGATACAGTATGATCTCGACCCTCGCTGGCACAGGCACAAACTAGTGTTTTGGTAGTGTATATTGATTACTATAATCCTGAGGAATAGAGAAACCGGATAAACGGTAAAAAGATTTGCCTAACCACACCACAGGCACCGGCTTCACCCTTACGGAAAGTTCGAAGACGCTGTGTAGTGGTTCAGATGCCACTGGGGTGTGCGAATCATCTCTGTGCGCCTTGCTGTTTTGGGTCCGTCACAGAGGGATAGCCTGGCCGACTGCGGTAATCATAACTCCATAGCAAAGGAACTGAAGAAAGGTATGAAACAGATTTTGGACTTCTTTTCTAGGTATTCCTTCATATCAAAGGCCATGCTTTTACTCTCGACACAGTAACTAGTTACGATTACTATTCTTTCATCATCTGCTATAACGATAAATAGTTAGCAAATTGTTATTTTTTGATGTTCATGCGCAGCGCATAATGAGTACCAGCTCTTGAAACATGAAACATCGTTCGTCATGAAGGTACGGTGTCTCTATCGAGACGCTGAGGACATAACAATTGCTCAAATGCCATGTAGCTGTGGTCTGTTTTCTTATCCCCATTAGTTAGAAGCAAGCAACAGTGCAATACGCCGCGAAATCTGGTCTTTGAGGAGTTATCAGCCATATAGTTTACAAAGTATTGTTCATATAATGACTGACGTTTTTAAATGGAGACCTCGAATGCAAGCAACACTTTAACTGCAGCTTTACAGTAATGACCCATTTCAGCTGCATGATTTATTTGTAATAAAATTCTTTACAACAAATATGATTATACATTTTATCCTTTAGTAATTACGTCGAGAGTTCTATACATTAAAAATGTATTTGCTTTAGCTACGGAAACGGCAATTAATTTTCCTAAAACCAAAGCATTTGGCATGGTCATTCAGTATGAAATTGTCGAAATGAGCAACTATGAAAATCAATACATACTCCAGACAAAATTAATTAGAAAAAGCCGGCTCTCCAGTAGCACTAAAAAGTTTGTTCAACTTTTAATCCCAGGCTGCACAGTACTTGCTGAAGAGAAATACCTGCAGTAACATGGCACGTGGCTATATGCTTTAAAACTAGCCGAAACGGATTAGGGTTCATTGTGTGAAGAAATCCCGCATGACAGTACTGTATGAGATGCATGCTAAAAAACGATTAATCATGAATGACCAGTTATCCCTCCCCGCTGTGCAGATGACAACCCACCAGGAACATAAATTTATGATCAAAGGAATGAGCGGGTGGGATCATCGATCGGCACGATTGCTGGAAGAGAATCTTGATGACTAGTGGAATGTCATAATCATGATCCTATTCCAATATAGCGCCGCATGAATGCCTAGCCGTGATTTTGTCCCCAAATTCCATATTCTGCGATTGTGAACTACTGAGACCAAGGAAGAGCAGAAGCTGGTGATAGACTTGAAAGAGTTATGGAAGTCCAGCAGCTTCGAGAATTCAGGTACCATTATTTGCCATTTCTAATAACAACTTTAAAGATGCTAACCGCCCTGATAATAATGGTATTTAAACGCCTGCAGTGCTGAGAGGCGCATACCGCGTCACTGATTTGGGCTGAGCCGAAACATGCTTGAGCATCAACAAATCTCGTCATCTCCTGTGGGAAATATCCAACGAATAAAAAATAAATAATTGATTGTCTGGGTAGCTACCAAGAATGGTGACTTTCTGATTCCGCCCCTGGCAAATATTCTCGTTTAAATTTGACAAATTGAAGACAACACGACAGTGAAGGGAACTCACTTGACGCTACACTAGGAAGTTCAGGTCAAATCTGCTTTTTTGATGATTAAAGTTTCCAAAACTAATGCAAAATTCAAAACCGGGTTCATTCTCCGTGTCACAGGAGGGACACCAATATTTGTCGAAAAAAGTGCAGCTTAACGAACAATCTTTGGTAGTCCTTACAGACATTCGATTGCTTCTGGTGTAAGAGTTTCCTGATTTCCGACAACTTTGTCAAGGTCTGCTGTCTCCTCGATGAGGTTGCAATTTGGATGTAGTTACTATAAACCTAATCATTTGTCAACCATTTGTGCAAAACTGATAGATTGATGGATTCACAGTTTCGTAGAATTTTGAATATCAAAAATGATTTTCAATTACTGCAAATGCTGGCTTCATTTCCTCATGCCTTGTCGTCTTTGAGTTAGAACCTGTTGAATGTGGATGCCGAAGGGTTGCTGTCACCGTACAGTTTCCGCAAGAACCACTGGTGAATGTTCCTTGACATCAAGTACATGGCTTTCATATGTAATCGTGCTGTAGATGACAAATAGTGGATACGTCTTTCTTTTCCATGGCTAGCGGAATGAGGGAGAAGTTGTTCTGTCAACATCACCTCTAGCAGCTTTTCAAAACTATAGACTGCCTAACATTCGTGATTTTTGCCCATTTTGACATATAATATTAGAGTTTTATGTATTTCAACATTTCGTAAGCTGCTCACTGTGTCTACGAAGAGTAGACTTCTCACAGACAGGAATCTTCTGTTTAGTTTCCTCTAGAATGTAACGTGTTGGCTGCGTATTTTTTGTCTGATATGTCTCAGTTCACATGTAAGTGACCTACAGCTCGATTAGGATGTTTACTTCCTTGCAAGCCTTCGTCTCTAAGCCGATATTTTTTGGAAGCTAGTCAGCCAATTAATCAGTAGAATTTACATAAGTTGTCAAAACTTGGATATGAACAAAATAAGTTATTTGTTATTTAACACCTATCCCATGCATCTGCAGTGTTACAATTGCTCACCACCATTTTCTGATGACGACAAGTCAAATTTGTGCTACCTTTTGAATCAAAACACGTATCCACTTCTAAACTATTCTTATCAAGTATATAAAATCACTTTTTCACGAAAAACGACTTCCGTCAAACTTCAGCAGAAGAAGCGAGACATGCAGAGCGCTAAAGCCATTTGCATATGCAGGTTCGTCTCTAGACTTCAACTAAAATGAAATTTACCTGCTGCTCCCGACATATGTCAATACAGCTGCTTTGCATCCACAGACCGGTAAAATATTAGACGCCACCAGAAAACTCCTAGTATTTAAACTACTAGTATTTAAAAATTAGAGTTTTCCGTAGGTGTCAATCACCCAAAGACCATCTTACTCAGCCCTCAGAAATTGAGGTAGCAGCTGGGTTCTGCTATGAACTACGAAAATGTTGGTTAACCAAATAGCGGTGAGCGGAGCTTAGCAAAAGCCCTCATACCTTGTCAGGCAAATCCGTCTCAGAGAGGAACAATGCATGTGCAGCTGTGGAGTATAGGATTGAAAGTTTAACAAGAATCTACAAGTGAAATGACCGGGGTTGCACAGTCGGTAGAACGTCAGACTCGACACCAGGAGGTTGATAAACGAGCACTACTCTGTTGGAGGGAAACATGAGACTAAACATTATGCTTGTCACGTAGTCGCCGTCGACTCTGCCTTTAAAATAAGGCATCCCTGCTAATGGCGGCGAAATGGAGATCAGAGCCCCACTATTAATTTCATGAAAATAAGAACGCCAGAAACGGCCTTATCATGAAAGTATGAGGAAGACTAACATTTGTAAGGTTATAAGATTTCCCTTTAACAAAACGACTTATTCGCTATTAATATCAGCTGCTATCAGCACGAATGACCTTCACATAACACTAATAGAAAACACAAAACTAACACACGACGACAGTGCTCTCGGTCAACGTCAGCAGATAAAATCATATGTATGGTAGTTCATTTCGATTTCACACCATACATTTATTAAGGTTGGTGATCTTCTGCTGAACGGTTTTGGGCGCAAGGTAACGGCTGATGTTAAACGCCCTTATACCATGTTGTCAAAGTTTCAGCCACATAACAATGGCGTTTTTCAATACAAACAAAATATGCCACAGACTACAGTCCCCTGAACATCTTATTTCGTA